GCGAGGCCGTGGGTGTGCGCGCGTGAAGGGCCGGGGGGCTGGTGGTGCGGGAGCCGCAGGGCCCAGCCAACCTCTCTGCTCTCCCCCACCCACAGCCACGACGGATGAGGACGAAGAAGGGAAGTTAACGGAGGACATCATGAAGGTAAAGCCTGGTCCCCCTCCCTGGGCACTCTTTCGAAGTGAGTGCTGCTTAGGAGAGAGGGATCCACTCAGAGCCGACAATCGGGGGGCGTAAGCAGCCGCTCCCATGACCGGGCTGCTGGCGGGTCCGACGGATGCCGCCTGCACGGTGCCCTCCTTGGCTGCTGGGAGAGACACCGTGGAAGTGAGGGCAGGAGCGAGGCCTGCTCTCTGAGCGGCTGTCCCGGAGCAGAGCCCCAGGGCCTGAAACGGCGCCGAGTCAGCCGCCAGCCTTGCCGGGTCCCTGACCTGTGTCCTCTGCCCCGGCACGGCCCAGGCCTGCTGCCCCGCTGGTTAGGGCTGGTTAGGGAGTGAGTGCACATCAGGTGTTCATATTCAGCCTTTGGGATCTGCGATCTGATGGGGTTTTTTTAAAGCAAATTATTCTCCAGGTTTTTTTTCTTTTTCTTTTTTTCCTGTTTCACTTTTAAAAGTGAATATAAAAACGTTTCTGACGTAGTTGTACCCAGGCTCTGTTTCTTCAGCATAGAAAACTTGAGACCTAGCCGCAGCTCTTTATCTCGAGCTTTTCTAGACATGTTTTCTTGACTCAGGATGCTAACCGTTGCATTAAGCCACATTCCCATTCGATCTGTCCTCCCCCAGTTGAGGGGGAAAGTCTTGGGAGATTCTGTGCCGGAGGGTAGATGTGGGAGTGGGAGTCCAGGGCAGAGCCTCCCTTCCCAGGCCCCCGTCGTAACCGCATTCCACGTCTGCATCCATCTGAGAATGTGCAAGGGGCCAAGGGTATGAGGCTGGCAGGGAAGCGTTGGCCCATTGAAGGCAGGGCCAGAGGATGAGTCTGCACTGGAAGTAAGCTGATGGCTTTCTTCCTCCTCTGTCCGCAGCTCTTGGAGCAGACGGGGTGGCAGCCGACAAACGTGGATGGGAAGGGGTACCTGCTCAATGAACCCGGGGCTCAGCCCGCCTCTCTCTACGGAGACTTCAGCTGCAAGGAGGAGCCAGAAGTTGACAGCCCTGGAGGTAGGAAGTTCCTGGAGCCATAGGATTTCTCCGACAAGGGAGAACCTTGCAGGGGGTGGGAAAGGGCTGGGGGACTGGGCCAGGGAGCAGCAGAGGCAAAGCATCTTTCTTAAAACCTTCTTGGTACAGACAGCTTGTGAACCAGCTGCTGCTCCCAAGCACTCAGGTTTGCCTAAAGATGAGGGGTCTTACCGTTGGGGGGGGGCCGGTGTGGGCAGCACAGGCAGCTGTGACTGTGGCCTGCTGGGATGGGGCTGAGGGGGCGGGAGAACACACCTGCCTTCACCCTCCGTCCTCATACAACCTTCTTCACATCTTCTAGGGTATATTGGACTGATATCTTCAGATCTGAAGAACATGGACACCAGCTGGCTGGACAGCCTGTTGCCCCCAGTCAGGCTGCCCTCCATCCAGGCCATTCCTTGTGCGCCATAGCTGGGCCCCGGCCCCCTTCTACTCCCCTAGGCGAGCAGGACCTGGCATCACGGTAGCTGTGATGCAAAGAAACAGGACTCCTGTGGGCTGCTTGACATGGCAGAGTGTGACTCCATTGCTGAGCAGGGATGAGGCCTCCCTCCTTAGGACTGTGACCTCTTGGGGTCTGTCAGGCCAGGGTCTGGGCTCATCTTGCGGGGTAAAGCTGGCCCTGCCTCCTGGGAAGATGGGGTTCTGAGATGGACGTGTCAGGTGGAGGTCTCAGAGAGGAGTCAGCCTCCAGCTTTTCCCTCTAAGCCCAGCTGCCGAGAGAGGGTCTCGCTGTCACTGAGGTGGCCCAAGGGAACAGACCAGTGACCTCAGAAAAGCACAGCGCCGACCCCAGGGCCAGCTCTGCACTAAGAGACAATTGCACTAAGTGAATCCTGTTCCCAAAGAACCTCCCCCCCCTTCCCGCCTTCCCAGCTGAGCCCTGGGGCCTGTTCCAAAGCCAGCGAAATGTGAAGGAAAATGGGGCCCTGCAGGACAGTGCTCCCTCAGCCTCAGAGGAGCTCCGCCCTGCTCGGGCTGAGGGGCTTGGGAAGAAACATGGCACTTTTTCTGGTGGACCTTGCCACTTTTCTGATCAGAGGTGTACACTAACGTCTCCCCCAAGCTCTCAGTCTTTCCATTTATTTATATCGTGCCTTGCCCCGCGCCCACCTGCCCCCTCAGGCAGGCCCCGGCAGCCCTCAGCAGGCCCTGGGAGGGAAGTGTGAGCGTCTTGGTGTGATTTTTAAAATTGGAAATGCCATCTAATCACTAAGTCATGTGTGACCACATACGTACATGTGTGTAAATATGTACATTTGTCTTTTTATAAAAAGTTAATTGTTTATAAAGGGTGTGGCCTTTTATTTAGAGATAAACTGCAGATGGTTTTACTTTTGATAGAGACATTTTGATGGACTCATTCGGGGCGTCCTGCCTGAACTTGACTGAGGGGTGCACAGTGACATGCACCTATTGCAGAAGCCTTGTAGTTATGTTCACAGAGAAGATGACAGGAAGAGGGGACAATCCTAGCTCAGAGACATGCTCATACAGATGCAGTCACTTGCCCCGGGCTTTATAACCAGGCTGTGAGTTGAACTGGGGCTCCGAGGCCTGCAGAGTGTTAGGTTTTGAGTTCTGAGTAACGTGCCATAGACTGAATGTCCTGCTAAACCCAAATCCAGGTGTGCTCAGATGCTACTTCGGAAAGTTAACACCTGGTACAGCACGGTCATGGGCAATCACCACAGACACCAGCCCCAAAGCGGTTCCTGAGGCCTGCTGTGCTGGGCATGAGCTGCCCAGTTTCTGCAGTGATGGACATGACCTCTCTCTGTACTGCCCCCTATAGAAGGCAGGGGCAGAGTCCCATGTGCCAACTGAGCACTTGAAATGTGGCCAGTGCAATGGAGGAGCTGAATTTTTAAGTCGTTAACATGCAAATACCCCCATGTGGTCAGTGGCTACAATACTGGACAGTATAGGTAGATACTGGACTGGGGACAGATCTGAGAGGCAGAGGTTGGGGTGGCTGGAGGACACTAGGGATGGACTCGGGCCTCTTTACCTGCCCATCCAAGAGTATTTTGCTATTTTGATGGCCAACTACATTGGTGCTGAAAACAAGCCCTGCTGGGTACTATACAACAGGTCTATGCACAAAAGTGTTAGGAAAACCTTGGATGACCTCACATGGAGCAGGTTTCCTTCCTCCATTTCTCTTCAGGGCTCTGGCTGAGCTGACGCACACCAAGTCTGTGAGGGAGTATATTTGATCAGAAGGGTGTTTTGAAACCCGCAGGTTGGGAACGGCCACCATATGACAATGCCTTCTTCAGATGAGGCCTAAGCCAAAGGAATGACTGAGGGTGAGAGTTCATGTCTCCCCCACTCCCAGTCCCTGGCCCTGAGGCATAAACAGTAGCCCACAGTAGGCAGGCTGGCCCAGGGAAATCAGCTGATAGCCCTAGCATCATCTAGGCAGTGAGGTCATGGCAGGTACGGGGGTTACTCAGGGAAGCCAAGCCCTGTGGATACTTCTCCACAGTTTTAGTCCCAGAAACCGCCTGGACTTAGATCCCCTCCCTGGGCCCAGCCCTCTGAAAGGATGTGTGGGCCCCTGGTGGGGATGGGAAGGCTGAGTGAGAAAATGATGAAAAAACTAGAAAATGGGCAAGGATCAGTCTGCCATATCCTGCCAAGCTCAGGAAGTTTTGTTGCCTGATCTTGGACATGTCCTGTGAGTAGCAGGTGGCCTCCTGCCAGGTGGGCCTTTTGCTTGTGGATGCCCGGAGAGACCCCAATCTCAAGCCCTGCCCATTAAAAGATCCACCTGGATTTTTCAAGGGTAGCCTCACCCGGGAGTGCAGGGATGGATGAGATGACCTTTCCCAGCTCCTCCAAGGCCCAGCCCTTACTGAGGAGAATTGGATTAAGGTGGCTAGCCTTCTGTGGCTTCTAAATGGGGGCTTGGCAAGGTCTTTAAGCGGGTGGCTCCTCTAGCTAAGGATGTCTGGATGTGGCGTGAAACCAGGTACAGCACACTGAGGAGGGATGGGAGGGACTGCTTCTGACTTTTCTGCTCTCCTCTTGTCCTTCAGCCTAACCCCTGACAGTACGCAGCAGGTATGCCGAAGTCCCAGGTAGCTGTGGCAATCTTGCAAGTTCTAACATGTGAAGTTAGCTCATCACTTAAAAGCTATCAAAATGGGAGAGGAATTCCATCCATTAGCTTCCAGTCTCCAAAGCCAAGGCGGAGTCCTGACCTCTTCTAGCTCTTCTTATCCCAGGAGTCCTAAACAGTTGGGACCAACTCCTTGAAATGTCTAGGGAGGAACTCCCAAATTCTACCCACTCCCCATCACAAGGGAGCTGGGTTCTGGGGACCAGGCCTGGAGAAGCAGTGTGGGATAGAACCAGACCTTCCGAGCTGTCCCATCACACCCCGCCATGGACCTCGGCCCAGGCCTGACGGGGAGACAGTAACTGCCACGGCAGCTGATACTAACTCATTAGCCAGTCAGTGGCCGAACAGAGCAACATCAGTATAATGGGAGCCAAATTTGGGCATAACAGTTTAAGGTCATTCTTAGGGTCTGCCAATGCTTTTGTGGCTCATTCCCAAGAGTTTCAGTCTAAGCACTAATGGTGGAAACTCTTGGCTAAGGAAGCTAGGAAGTCAATGAAAGAACTGCTTTGTTGGAGTTGTGATAATACCGTCATTAGGGACCACTTTCCATTGGGCTAAAGTGGCAAATTGGGGCTTGGTCATACCAGCTAGAACTCCTTTAAATTTATGGACATTTGGGGGCATTTCTGGTTAGTCATAGGCATTTCGTTGCCTTACTCCAAAGGTGTCACTTTGATTGGGCTGGTTTATTCATTTAGCTCCCTTGACAATAGGAAGAAAGAGAGAGGCTAATATGTCAGCTGCCCATAGAGAGGGTCATGGCGGCAGAAAATCTTCAGGGAAGACAGATGGAAACCGTCCCTTCTTGATATATCAGTCTTCAACATCTGTCAGTGGGCTGTGCGCAAGATAAGAGCTTCCTCAGGTCTCTGGAAGTTTTAGGCAGGGACGGCCAAAGACAAGAAAAAGTCCTGGGCCTGGTTAGAGGTGGAGTCCTTTCCTCTGGGAGTGAATCCCGCGGGTTGGTGGGGTTGGGTCATGCCCAGGCTGTCATCCTCTGGGACCATTTGGTCTTCTTTCACACCATTTGCACAGATTCCCAAGTTGTCATGTTTGCAGGGTACAGATTTCCTCAGCAGCCCTGTGGAAACACCCAGGGAGCCTTTGTCTCTTTCAGATGTAATGCCCTCACTTAACTTGGACACGACTAACCCTCCACGGTGAGGATGCATGAAAGTCATTGGACCCTGGCACTGACCTCTCCCCACTTACGCCAGTGGTCACAAGGGCAGGAGAACGGGGAACTGGCGCACTCCCTCTGCCAGGATTAAACCTACTGGGCAGAGTGACGTTTGTCTTTGCCCACCAGGGATCTCTTGTGAGGCCAAGTCTAAGGCAGTGCAAGGGCATAGCTGGCTGGCCATGTGGTTTTCCTAGCTCTAGGCAGCTCCCAAGAAAACCATTTCTGCTGATATTCTGGGGGGCAGGGAATTATAGAAGCAGCCCCCCCTTCCATAGGCTCAGTGGGGAGGCAGGCCTAAGAAGTCCATGCTAACAGTTTAATTTCAGTTGGGGAGATGCTAGAGGTAATGAGGCAAGGATACAGGGACTGAGTACAAGAGGAGAAGCAGACATCCAGCCCGCCATCCCTCCTCCAGTTCCACAAACTCACAAAAGGGAAGAACTGGGAAGAACCTCAAAGTCTGGCTAGGTAATGACAGCTACGGTCTCAGGTGCTCACTCTGCAGCAAGGGCTGTGCCAAACCCCCCACACGCACTACCCACCACAGCACCTTGTCTGCAGATCAGGTGAGCAAAGCTCAGTTGGTACAGGGCGCTTGCCCCTGATGACTCAGCTAAAAAGCATGGAGCTTGGATTCCAATCCACACCCGTCTGTGCCCAGAACCCAGATGGGTCCCACAGTATCAGATTGTCAGCAGAGCAGGAAACTGAGGCCTGGGAAGGACGTTCGGGAGAGGCTGCCTGGGGCAGGGCACTAGCACTTCATGCCAAGAGAGCATGTGGGGACACGGAGCGAAGGCAACAAAAGCCACATCCGCTCCGGACACCGTGGGACTCGGCCCCTGCCTTCAGCTCCCTGCTCCCCCTCTTCTTAGGCAACATGGCTCTGCTGCTCCCGGTCCTTGGGCCCCAGTGGGGCGGGGTTTGGCCTGGCCCTCGAGGGAGGGATGCCTCACCTATGGCCTGGAGGCCACCTGCGGTTTCCAGGGGTGGGGCCCCAGGGGGATGGGACACAGACAGGCCTGTAACAGAGCCACCCCAGCGTGTTTGTGACCGTGCTGCCAACCTGCCAACCGCAGGGGACTCTGGCCTGCTAGGTCTTATCTCAGCTGCTCTAGGGATCAAAGAGGATGTTTCCGCTGCACTTCTGTGGGAGCAAGGCAACGAGAACTCTCCTGTTCCCCTGCTTGAAACCAGACCCTCTGCTAGGTCCTGCCTGGGGTGCTCCGAAATCTGAACTCCCAGGTGTATCCTCACTTCCAGCCGTGAGACTGGGGTCACGCTATGGCGGTCCTGAGTCTCAGCTGGCGTCTCGGTCCCTGAGAAAGTCCAGCACCCCTAGCAACCGGCTGGTTGCTACCCTACACTGGGGGGCTCTCAGACTCACTTGCAGGCTTCCTTCAGGCAAAGCCCTTCCCCGCCCTCCCGATGCCAGCCTAGACGGTGGGGTCCTCACTTCCATTTCTGGACAAATGCCTTGGCCTGGCCTGGGTCTCCTTCTCTGTCTCTGCCCTACTACTTCCCACTCACATGGTCAATCCTGAACCGGCCCAGCATGAGGGTAGGCGCAGGGAGTTCTTCCACAGCAATTACAAATACTCAGCCGCATCTTTGTGAAGAGAGGTGAAGGGATATGCCTGGGATCTTAGCTCAGGAGCAACGGAAGTGCCCAAGGCCATAGGAGTCCCGGGATGTGGGTGGTGGGAATTGTGTACCAGGCTTTTCTGAGAAATTTGACTTCATGGAATGAGGGTATCGTATGGATACAGAGTTGGGGTTGGGAGATCAGGCAGGGAGAGGGAGGGAATTATTAGGCCAGAATAGCAGTCGCTTTCCTAAAACTAAGAACAATCTAGAAGTCATGTCACTTTAGCCACACCAGGGTGATGGTGGACTTCGGTGGGCACTGTTGACCTTGCCTGTGGGAGGTGAAGGGTAACTGCCTCTGCTGGGGACCCAGAGCTCCCCTCCAAATGCTCCTTCCGGGCTTTCCAGGATGGGGAGGAGAGCCAGAGGTGAGGGCTGTCTTCTAGGTATGGAGCCTGGCACTCCCTAATACGTGGGGGGCAGGGCAGGGCACGGCACCCAGAAGGGGTGCCAAACTTTCCAAGGCTGGTGACCATTCATCACCACCCTGCTGTCATTAACTGGCCAGCAGCCAGAGTTCTCGGCTCCGGAGACCATCTACCCCTGTTGGGGGTGGGGGCTGCCTCAGGTCACTCAGTAGGACCCCATTTTTGGTCTCTGGCCATCCTAAGACACGTACAAGGTGACCCGGGGGCCCGCCCTTATCTGATGGCCCCCACGAGCACAGCCTCACCATCCAGTGCCTGTCCCCTTCCTGTCTGCCATTCCCCTTGTGGTCTGTGGGGAGCTCAATCTCTCCGACCAGACTGGAAGCTCCCCGGGAGCAAGCAGCTCATCTCGTCTGTAGTCCCACAGGGCTGAGGCAGGACTGGCCCTCGAGAGCATCTCCTGGAAAACAGTGGGTCAGCATCTGCTTACCTGCTCTGTCCACCGCCCACCTGGCTTCTCTGAGCCCTCCCTTGCGGGACAAGCCAGGCTGGACTCTGGAGTGCAGGGAAGCAGGCTGACGGGCAGGGAGGACAGTCGGTAGCTGGCTCTACCCCTGCAGTAGAGCCTCGGACCGTGACCAACCAGCGGCCAGGGCCACAGGCTCCAGCGCAAGGGCCGCTGTGTTCCGCCATGTGGTGGCGCGTCCCTCAGCCGGACTGCTGGAGATGTGAAGGCAGTCACTCGTTACTTTCTTTTATTAACAATGTACACGAGTAAAAAGTTTGACTGTACAGAAAAAGAAACACAGATGAGTGAAGAGACACATTCATGAAAACCACCCGCAATACCCCACCCAGGTAATCAGGCTTTTACAGTTTGAGAGGCTCAGGCGCAAACACAACTGCTCACACCCCCCATGCAGGTATCTAGAAGCTCCATCCCATGCAGACACAGGCATGGTCTCCATGCGTGGGACACGTCCACTGACAACGCTGCAAGCAGGAGTCTGGCCTGGGGCCCCTCCTCAGCCACAGGTCTCTCCACGCCCACATAATGTGCAGAGCTTGGCATCTAAAAGTCCAAAGACCCGGCTGTCCAGGCAGCAGAGGTAATCTAGAGTAGATTAGGAGGTACAAAGGGTCTTGGATGTAGGGTAACCAACGGTCCCAGTTTGCTGAGGACCGAGGCGAGGGATTTTCAATGCTACCACTGAGAAAGTCCTGGGTAAACTGGGGCGAGGTGGTCACTGCACTTGGGGAACCAAAGGCCTTGTCCAGCCCCTCTCTCCGTGCACTGCCCACCAGCCATCCTGTTGGGTCTCGGAACCCCCAGGCGTTCACCAAGCAGCTCTGGGACAGAGGCTCCCTCTGGGCACCCCCCTCCAAGTGTTCCAGCCTGAGGCCCAGGGAAGGAGAGGGGAAAGGGAATGAGTAAGGGCAGACAGGCATCATCCTCTGAGGGAAGACGGCCAGGTGAACTCTGGCTGTCCAGAGCAGCCCGGATGCAGAGGTGGAGGGGCTCCGATACTTGGCCAGCTACCCCTCCTGTCCGAGAGCTGCCCTTAGACCTCAGGGTCTGAGACCTCACAGGCTAGGCTCTGGCCCTAGTTCTTAGAAAGTTCAGGGTCTCTGGGTGGGAAGTGCTCAGCCCCCTGGGGCTTTCCATTGCCCTGGTGCACCTGGCCTCATATCCTCCTCCTCCGTGTCCAAACCTGCACATGTTGCCTGCCTCGCTTCTCTCTACCTAAGACTGGGAACAGAGGAGTCCAGGACAGGTTGAACTGAGCAAGAAGCAGGCAGGTGGGAGTGGACCTGGGCAGAAAGGACCTCTCTGACACAGGTGGGCACATCCTGATTGTGGTCTGGCTGTCTATGCCTAAAGATGAGGTCCTTGGAGACCCAGAGGAGTAGGCAGAATTATGGTCCACGGTGGAATAAAGATGTCCACATCCTGTGTGTAATCTGTGAATATGTTATCTCAATGGCAACAGCGAATTAAGGTTGCAGGTAGTAGAAATAAGGTTGCAATCAGCTACTTAAAAGAGATTACCCTGGATTATCTGGATGGATCCAACGTAGTTACGTGAGGGTCCTTAAGTGGGGAAGAAGGAGGGAGGAGAAGCAGAAGCAGAGAGGCGGCATTATGTGAAAGCCATTGCTGGCTTTGAAGATGGAGGAAGGGGCCACAAGCCAAGGACTGCAGGTGGCCTCTGAAGGTTGGAAGGGGCAAGGAAACAGATTCTCTACTAGAGCCTCTGGGAAAGGCATGGAGCCCGGCTGACACTGTGAGTTTAGTCCAGCGAGACCAGTTTTGGACTTCTGACCTACAGAACTGTAATTTGTGTTGTTTTAAGCCACTTAGTTTATGGTACTTTGTGAAGGCAGCAATAGAGGAAACCAGCTGAGGGAGGCAGCCACCCCACGTCCCTTGGTTAGAGTCAGTCTCACAGAGCCCCCGAGTCTCCCTGTGGAAGACCCTACTCCGTTCTGGGAGTCACTGGGCCTCTAGAGCGCTGGGCAGAGAACGGGCCTCCGTGGCCTGGGTGGGTCAAGAAGAGTGGCTCTGCGGGACATGTCTCCAGGGAACAGCTGCTTCCTTGAACCCACTCCCCTGCTCTCCGGCGGCGCTGGCTCTGAGCTGTCCTCCCAGCGTGGGGTTCTGTCCTTTCCACACACCCATTACACTGACAGCACTCTCAGCCTTTGGCTTCAGTCAGGGAATCCAACTGAGCTCAGAAAAAGCTAGGACCAGAAGGAAAAAAGTTTCAAGGGAAAAATCACTCACTTGGAAGTCAGCCAGATCTGCATCAAGTCCCCGCTCTGCCGCTTACTAGCCGCGTGGCCTCAGATGAGACCTCCCGTAGCCTCTGTTTCTTCATCTATACCATGGGTGTAACAGCTTTCGTCTCACCTGCCTCACAGGGGGTGGAAACACAAGAGAAAACATGCTGCACCGACGGAGACGCTGTTTTTATTAATAAACAATAGCAATAAACCACATGTGCCTCTGGATGGAGTGGGTAATCACACATCCTGTGTTGGGGACGGAAGGGAAGGCACACTCATCAGCTCTGCTCTGCTTTGCCCACAGGCTGCACACGGCCCGGCCTGGAGAAAAGAGGAACACTTGTGTCTGTCGGAGCCCCTGCCTCGGAGCTCCCAGCAGACATGAGACATAGCCACACTCTGCGGCCGGCACGGTGTCCTCCCAACCACCACGGACGACGGCTTTGTGCTTTTTTTTTTTTCCTTCCCAAAGGAAAAAAATTTTCTAGAGTTTCTTTTACGTTAAAAACAGTCCCTCCGGGGCGCCTGGGTGGCTCAGTTGTTTAAGCAACTGCCTTCGGCTCAGGTCATGATCCTGGAGTCCCGGGATCGAGTCCCGCATCGGGCTCCCTGCTCGGCAGGGAGTCTGCTTCTCCCTCTGACCCTCCTCCCTCTCATGCTCTCTGTCTCTCATTCTCTCTCTCGCAAATAAATAAAATCTTAAAAAAAAAAAACAAAACAGTCCCTCCTTCTCATAAAAACACTCACATCTTTAATAGGGAAAAAGGAGACCATGAAATCATACACAATACAATTCCAATCTAATGAATATATAACGTATAATTTTATGTGGACTACCTACTGGAAGGAACGGGTCAGAATACTAATGGTGATTATGTTTGGGTGGTGGGATTATAGGTGATTGTATTTACTTACTTATTTATTTACTATTTCTGTAACTTAAAAGTGCTCTACAATGACTTATAATTACTTCCACAGTCAGAAAAACCCTTACATACATGTATATATAAAAAATGCCAGGACTACCTTTTACTACCAGAACCCGGTTCTGCACAGGTGGGAGTCGGCCCAGATCCCTGCCGTGGGACCCTGGAGACTCAGGACTTCCCCTGCCGGGCCCCCGAGGGCCTGGTGAAACAAGAGGCTGGACAGGATGCTCTGGAGCGTCCTTTGCAACCCAATAATGAAGAGACGGCACCTTCCTCTCGCCCACGCCTGCTCCCTGCCCAGCTTCCAGGGGCTCCCCTGTGCCTAGAGAATTCCTTCCTCAGGCCTTGAGGTAGAAACCACCTCCCTCAGCAGTCTGCCTCTCCCAGACTCGCCCTGGGAGTCCCTGCCTGCTGGCATGTGCCTACCTTGCAGGCTGCACTTCTCAGAGCCCTGCCCTTCCTTGAAGAACAAAGCCTGGCGGGCCCTGTGCAGCCTGCTGGCCCGCAGTAACCCCTGCTTCCCTCTGATTTGTGCATAACAACAGCTCCCATTTGTTGGCCCTTAATTTCAGCCCACACAGCCAATGTGCTCTCATTTAATCCCCAGCCACCACCCACAGCAGAGATGAAAATGGGAACAGCACCCCCTGGAGTTGTGCAGTGTGGGGACCCTATCTGATCCTCCCCGGCCTCTGAGGGGTGTACTGTCATCCCTAGTTCAAAGATAATATAACTGAACCTCAGAGAGGCCAAGCGAACTCACCCATGGTCACATGGTCCATGCGTGGCAGAGCTAGGACTTGACCTCTAGTACTTGGGGGGCCAAAGGCCTTGTCCAGCCCCTCTCTGCTCCTCCCCTCCACCCGTGGTGTCCTCCACAACAACTGCCACATTCGTGCACTGGGGGGAGGGGGTTGTGAGTGGAACACACAGAGAGCACCCAGTGAATGTCTGCTGGTAGCAGTGTTGATCACAGTGAGCTACACCGGGGGTCATCACTCAATAACCAAGTCTTCCCAGAGCGGGCCTACTATTCTGTCCACTGCGATATTCCGGCACCCAGCGATGCCTGACACCTAGTACATGCTCAATAAATGACACTGAATCCACGACTGTTCATTCAAAGAATAAACCAACACAATAAATAATATGAGCTAATATCTACGGAGTGCCTACCACAAGCCAGCTCTCAGGGAGACTCCAGGTGAGCTGAGGGAAAATACAACACTGGTGACAGGGACCATACAGCATGGGGTATAAGCTCACAAAAGTGTCCACGTAAAGGCCATGAGAACACCACAGAAAGAAAAATGATGAGCAGCAACCCTAAACCTTTCTACCATGTCAGAGGCCCTGCCATCACAGCTTGACCACAGCGACCGCCAAAGCTCACAAACCTGAATTGGCCATTTGCATCCACGTTCAGACTACATCTGGATACTCTTTGCCTCTTCAGGCTGGACAACTAGAATGCTGAGGGCTAGAAGACAAACAGCTGTAGAAACTGGTGATGTTCAGCTTGGAAAGACAGAGGAGGGTCGTCTGTAACACCGGATGAGCTCGCGGCCAGTGGGCATCAGCCCTGAGCGCCCCCCGAGGAGGCCCGCTCTAGCTGCCTGGGCTGTCTGCGGACAGATCAGAGAAGCAGGGGACCTGGTGGGCTGCCTCTCTGGGACCTGATGAGGCCTTACTTTCCACAGCATATACTCTACACACTTGCTGACACAACAAACATTTATTGACTGTCATCCCTGGCCTATTCCAGTCTAGAAAAATAAGGATGAATAAAACAAGTGACAACCTTAGGAAATGCCAGCCCCTAAGGCGACAGAGTCAGGAACCCCTGGTTGACCTTCCCCAGCGGTGGTGACATGTCAAAGGATGTCCTCCAATCCTACACTGCCTACCAGTCTTTGTCTTCCACTCCCGCCAAGACCCCTCAGTCTGCAGTAAGAGTTACAATTCGGCAACCAGTGTGGCCCTCTTGAGGAGCTGATCCAAGAGAGGCTCCCGCGGGAACAGCCTCCACTCACCGCACTGTTTGGGGCTGGAATGGACTCACGTATACCTTTATTTCTCATCGAGAAACAATAATCATGCAGAAAAATGCACAACATGTATGTTCAGGGTTTTTAATAACATACGTTCAATTTAACAAGTATAAAATATAAAGCAAATATTTTTATAACCGCCACCAGGTCAAGGGATGAAACAATGCCAACCCTCTTCCCAAGACCCCCGTGGGCCCCTCCTCATCACAACCCCCACCCTCCCCTGTGGTCATGTCTACGTTGACTTTTGTGACAGTAATTTCTGTGGTTTTTATAGTTTTACCTCTTCTGCATGTATCCTTAAACAATATAGTCCGGCTTTGCCAGTGGTTAAACTTTTCCTGAAAGGAATTATACTGGATGCGTTCTTTTGTGTGTTTTACTCAATATTATGTTGGTGAGAGTTATTCATTATTACAATATTATTATCCAATATTACAGCTCTTGCAAGTCACTGTAGTTCATTCATTTTCACTGCAGGAATGTTGCACAATTTCTGTGCATTCTCAAATGCTGATGGGCATTTGGACCCTTCCTGGCGTTGTGTGGACATTCTCGTGCACAGGATGGGTAAGAGTTTGGTCAGAGCACATTCTGAGGAGTGGAGCTGCTGGGTTACAGGGTACGTGTATCTTCTTCTTTACCAGATCACCAGATCTACTTTTTAATTCTGAAAACGTTTCTCAGGGAAATAGGGCTGTCACACCCCAGCATTGTCTGGGGTAGAGGAAATGAGGTATGCCTGCCCTTGCGGCTTGATCAGCCCACCTTCCGTCCTCCGTATGTCGTCCCCTCCAGCCCCGCCAGCCACCCTGTGCCCTCCGGTACCCATAGGTTGGGGCCCCTTGGCAGCAGGCTTGGCTCTGGCCTCCCTACCTCAGTGATGCAGTTGGGTGGGGGTGGGAGGAGGCTGAGAATGAGGAAGTGGAAACCAAATACGAGGGCCACAGAGAAGTCCGGTTCACAAACCTCAGTGTTTCCGCAGCATGCTCCGTGGGAGAGAGACATGCAAGCTGCCTTTGCAGCAGCCTTCGCAGGCGCCAAGCCCACTGGTGCCAAGGTGGACTGCCAAACAAAGTGCACTTTGCCCTAGATTCCTGCACGTAGGTCACTGCACGCAGCCTTCGCTGTGTATCAACACTGAGAGGTACGTGCAATCACGCCCATATCACAGATGAATGCACTGAGGCACAGAGACACTGAGTGGCGACACGGGACAGCGGTTCATAGTGTGGGATCTGGGCCTGTGTAAATTGGGCTTAACTCGTGGCTTCCCTACTTACTGATGCAGTCTGGGGCCAGTCAGCTGGCTTCCTTTGGTCTTAGTGTCCCCCCCTCTGTAAAAGGGGGCTAACTGGACTCACTGGGCTCCTGGGTGAAGTGATGATGTGAAGGAGCTTAGCAGAGTGCCCGCACAAAGGAGGCACGCGCAGGACTATGGAATGGGACCTGTGGAGTTCCCGAGACGGACAGCGGGCACAGGAGGTGGGCGGGGAGCGGGAGGGAACAGCTCGTCCTGGCAAGCGGGGACCGGGCCACCCAGCTGCGGGAGCTGACCCGGGGCTGTGTGCGAACGGTCATGCTGGCAGGCTGGACTCTGAAACGCAGGCACCCAGGCACCCAGGCACCTTTGCCCAGAGCTTTCCCCCTACCTGTGGTTGCTTCAAAGGGCACCGATTCCTGACAGGGAGCATCTGGCTCCCTGGGCACGTGGAAGCTTCGGCCCAGCTTCGGGGCTGGCCTCCGGGAAGCCACACTGGCAGGCGGTGGCCCGTGGCAGCCAATGGGCAGCAAAGCCTGTTGCTAAGGTCACTGGTGAACCTTATTTGGCGACTTGGGGCTGACCCTGCATTCACCTCTTAGAACCCTGGGAAACGCCAACCACAGATATGAAATGAACATCTCCAAACCACAACTGCATTTCCTTTGAGAAAAGATTCGGCTCTCCTCTCTAGCCTGCCTCTCACGGGTTGGGCGCCTCTTGTTCGATCGCTTGCAAAGCGCGAGAGAGATGCGTCTTCTACAAACCCATGCGGGGCAGAGAGAGGCCAGGGGCCACGGCCCCAGGGGCCCCAGGACCCCGCCAGGACCTCGAAGGTTTCTGTTCTCACCCCGGCTGCTGCTGACCCCTCTGCCCAGGACTC